GAAGGTCTGGCGGATGCCCCGTGCAAGACATAAGGCTCCCAGACGGGCAGAGGAAAACTCCCCGCCTTTGTCAGAGTGCAGACGCAGAACAGGAAAGTCCGAGCCAAAACTCTCTCTGAGCTGGAGACGAGCTGCACGGATCCAGTCGATCAACACCTCAGTGACGTCACCCTTGCTGCGCAAGGGGAACACCGTGGTGTAACGCGAGTAGTCGTCAACCACCAACAGGAAGTAACGCTCGTGACCCTGGCCACGGACGCGGGCGGGGCCCCACACGTCCATGTGAAGAGTGTGCAGGGGAGCCTCTGTCGGAGGAAACTCGGAGGAGTGAGGGGCGGCGCGCTGCCGCCCCTCGACGCAGGGAACGCAGGTAGGGGCAGGCCCCGGAGGGAGGGGAGGGAGGGACCGGGGGAGACCAGAGACAAGGACACGGGAGGCCATGCCTCGGAGACGAGGCAGGGAGGGGTGACCAAGGCGGTGGTGCCAAAGGAGAGTCTGGTGGGACAGGAGACGACACGAGCAGGGAGCAGACTCAGGACCAGACCTGGACGCTGCAGCAAACACCTGACTCGACGCAGCTACCTGACCAGACGCAGCAACCGGAGGAGACTCAGTAGTCAGTGTGTACAGGCTCGACCCCGGTCGACGGGTAAACGTGGCCAAGTGTCGGCCCGTCCGAACACACGTACAGTGGGTCACCCGCTGACTCGCAGGAGTGAACTGGTCAACCCCCCGATCCTGTAGATCAGCACCACTCACCAAGTTTGTAGAGAACGAGGGGAGGTAGAGACCTGATAGGGTGCCAGAGGGGGCTGCCGGACACGGTAAGACAGTGGAGAAGCTAGCAAGGACAGGACCCCCAGAGGGGTCCGCCAGGGAGACCGCAACCGGCCGACTAAGCGGCGTAAGCGTGGTGCGGTCTCGAAAGAAGGAGCGGGAAGCACCCGAGTCAAGGGTGAAGGTGTGTAAGGCCTGAGCCGACGTGGTACCTGAGAGAGCAGACTCACCAGCACCTGGGGCAGCAGACGCACTAGCACCTGGAGCAGCAGCCTCACCAGCACCTAGAGCAGCAGCCTCAATGCCCGGGTCAGGCGGAACACACAGGTAACAGTCACCCTCATCACTAGTAGACACAGCATACATGGCAGCAAGAATAGCATCATAGTCAAGATCAAAGATAGCAACCCCCGCCCTAGACAGCTCTCCCCAGTGAGGGATCTCAGTGGCGTCAGGGAACTGGTGACGCCAAGCGTCCGTCAGGCGGCCGAAGCAGCGCTGGGTGGAGTGCGAGCCCCCGCACTGCTCACCAGCGCGGTCGCCAGTACGGAGGACGTAGGTACAGGGACCAGTACCCCCACCTCGCTGACGCCCAGCGTACCACTCACGAAGCTGCTGGGGGGACGGGGTCTCACGAGTGCGCTGCTGCTGCTGCTGGCGCTGACCACCACCGGAGCCACTCCTGTGTGCAGAGCCGCGACCAGCTCCACCGCCGCCGCCGCCACCGCCGCCTCCGCCGCCTCCGCTCCCACCGCCACCGCCGCCGCCTCCTCCGCCTCCACTGCTGCCACCGACACCTCCACCCCCGCCACCACTCCCACCACCACCCCCACCCCCTCCACTGCCTCCACCGCCACCTCCACTGCCCCCGCCAGCCCCTCCAGCGCCCTTGCCCCCCTTGCCCTTGCCTGTGCGGCGTCTCCCGCTAGGGGCAGACGCAGCGCCGACCGACTCGAAACCAACGAGGTTGGCCGCAGCAGCAGAAGCAACAGAGGGCAAGAGGGGGGAGGGGGAACACCCCTCAAAGACGGGGGTACGAGGATCACCACGAGAGGCTCCTACAGCGACTATGCTCTTCTCTGCTGCCAGGAGGCGCTCCTCGAGGAGGTCATCGGTGAGTGTGGTGGGGCAAACTGAGAGGAAGTGGTCCCTGACTAAGCGAAGGGAGTCAGGGAGCCGGGTGACTATGTAGTAGAGGGTGATGTACATGGGGGGGGGGGTTCTTGGCGCAGAACTCAGCCAGAAGCGCAGCGCGGTAGCGGGTGTCACTAGTGCGAAGGTGCGTAATGAGGTCAGCGACTGTGGGAAAGGCGGCTAGGTCAGGGAACAGGTACGGCAGCATGAGGCGGCTAAGGGCAGCAGTGGCAGGGGAAGAGTAGCGTTTAATGACAGCGTCGTACAAGGTCTTAGCACTCTTGTACTGACTAAAGTGCGCGCGCTCAGTGGACGGCAAGTGACTACGCACAGCAAGACGGGCAGCAGCATCGCGTGTGGCCCACTGTGAGCGAACAGTGCTGTCAGCATCAGCAGCAGGGGCAGGAGAGGCGCCAGAGGTGAGATCGAACAGTGAGAGACCGTCTTTCCTATCGCACTGTAGGAAAAGCTGCAGATCATCGACCCAGACCTCAAAGTCAACAGCCCTACCCTCAGCATCAAAGACGAGGACACTAGGGGTAGCCATGACAGCAGTAGTAGTAGTAGCAGCAGTAGCAGCAGTAGCAGCAGTAGTAGCAGGGGCAGCAGTGCGGCGACGCTCTTACCAGGGCAGAGGGCCGCAAGTGGTGGGGCAGGGCCGAGGCGCACCGGCAGGGACGGGCCGAGGTGCGCAGGCAGAGCCGAGGCGCGTCGGCAGGGACGAGCCGAGGCGCGCCGGCAGGGACGGGCCGAGGCGCGCCGCCAGGGACGGGCCGAGGCGCGCCGGAAGGTACGGGCCGAGGCGCGCCGGCAGGGTCGGGCCGAGGCGCGCTGGTGGCTGCTGCTGGTGACGGCTGCGGCTGCTGCTGGTGACGGCTGCGGCTGCTGCAGTAGGGGCGGCGACGGTGGGCCGCGAAGGGGCCGAGAAGGGTGGCGCGAGGGGCCGTAAGGGGCCGACGAGGGCGGCGCGAGGGGCCGTAAGGGGCCGACGAGGGCGGCGCGAGGGGCCGTAAGGGGCCTACGAGGGCGGCGCGAGGGGCCGTAAGGGGCCGACGAGGGTGGCGCGAGGGGCCGACGGGCAGCGCGAGGGGCCGTAAGGGGCCGTAAGGGCGGTGTGAGGGGTTGTAAGGGGCCGCTAAGGGCGGCGCGAGGGGCCGACGGGCGGCGCGAGAGGCCGTAAGGGGTCGTAAGGGGCCGCACGAGGGGCCGTAGGGGCGGCGCGAGGGGCCGTAAGGGCGGCGCGAGGGGCCGTAAGGGGCCGCGAAGGGCCGTGAGAGGGGCCGCTAAGGGCGGCACGAAGGGGCCGTGAGAGGGCGCGACGGTAGGGAGGGCACACGGGGCGCGACTCGGGCAGGAGCGAAGCGCTCTCCGGGCAGGAAAAAAAATATCGTGGTGGGCCCTGAGAAGTGTTCCCACTAGGGAACCTGCTCTATACCATGTGAAGAAATGAGGAAGGAATGAATGAACTAGAAAGCAGGTGGGTACAAGTAGGAAAACCTAAAAGTGTTGTACCCTATAGTGTCTACCCCACTACAGCCTAGATAGACCATAGCATATAAGTTTGACAAGCAATGCCCCAGATTTTCTGTTGGCGTGTCCCTCACCTGCGTTCCTATTTTCCCACTGTTTGCTTTCTGTGCACCAGTCGCTCACTTCTTTCCCTCCTCTTTCCACTGTTTCATCCCCTCCCCTTTTTACTCTTCCTTTCCCTCCTTTTCACTCCCTTCCCTCCCCTTCTGGTTCACTGCTAAGCAGTGGTGAGATTAGTGGCAATATCAGTTCCATCTGGTGCGGGAATTAGCTGCAGGGACAGGTACAGGCAGTATTTGCAGGGACTGGTGCAGGCAGTCACAACACGAGGTGTTCTAGGCACGACACGAGGAGTTGACTTATGTAGTGGAGAAATTGCTATGTTTAGGAGGTTGGAAGCAGGGCTGATCTAACAGCGTATTTGATCTGGTTACCATAATTCCTCGAATAAAAAACAGTCCTGTCCGGGCCTCACTAAAGTCTTTCATTTGAACAGGATGGCACAAACCAGGGGTTATGTTTGCGAAGCTTGTTCAGACAGTTGCAGTACTAGGTACTAGTAGTGTACTCAGAACCACTGAATGGTTAGCATGGAAGCTTCTAATAAGCCTGACAAGATCCATGGCTGGAGAGCTAGAGAACATGTTTGAGAACATATTGTGTGTCAGTCAGTATGTTATTGTTGTATTTAGTGATTTTTATGTTCTCTCTACTTGAAGCAACTTCTGCAAGCGAGCTGGCCAGTAAGCAAGATGCCAGTAACTAGGAAGATGTCGCAAATCTATCGCGACCTGCCTTTGTCGCCTGCCGAGTACCCACTGCATTTCGTCAAAACTGAAGTTGTCCCCTGATTGCATATCACACTAGAGTTCTCTGCGAACATCGCCGGGGGAGGGCTGATCGCAGGAAACGCGATCATGCGGGAGAAAAGGCCGTGCGAGCGGCGAATTTGTTACAGCAGCGAAGCTTGCGGGCAGAGTCAAACTCGCAATAATTCAGCTGCTTGCGCTGTGATAGGCTGCGACGCTGTTACCTCAGTTATGTCAAGCTCTACCATCATTCATCAGCTGCCGCCGCGTTCCTCGCTTCATCGAGTCAGCAAAACTTGTTTTTCAGCACAAAGCCTCCGAACCAACAAGTCACAACTATGTGACCCATTCCAGCCACACGATCGCGTTCCTAGTACTAGCGCCTCCTGCGGGGACTGTCAACCTTGAGCGTTAGGCTCCCGGATTCATCTATAAACCACCCGCCAGAGCAGCCATGGCAACATCTCTTCCGCCGCATCTGTCGTGCTGTATGATAGCAACGTCAGCAGGCTACTTACCAACACATTTTAAGAAGTTCTTACTGTTATGTACCTGTATGCTACTATTATCTACCACTAGCCTCGTGTTGTACCATCTCAACAATATTGTATCACGACCATCTTTTCCTAGCATTGCGCAATTCATTGCCCGTGCGTCACGCGGCGTGCGACAAGCGGTCGCGTCACCCAGAGCTTGTCGGTTGTCGACGAACGCGCGACACTCGTGACTCGGTTGTGGGTGCTACCCATCATGGCCTCCAATCCCGCCGCGCTTCTTCTGCTCCTCGTCCTTGCCGTCATCTGCGGTGAGCTTCGAGTCGCCATGTCCACTTCTCCTCTCCTGCTTCTTCCTCGTCCTTGCCGTTATCTGCGGAAAGCCATTCCATCCTTGTCTAACTTCGGCTCGATTCCGTTTTCTCTCATGTTGAGAGGCGCGAAAATCTGCCCCTCCTAGCACCCTTCCGCTCCCTCCCGCTCACCTCCCACCCTAAACCGCCCCTCTGCATCCAGCGATCGTCACGGCTCACGCGGCGGCAGGCGAGCGCGCGGATCGCCTTACTAATAACGCGCGCGCGCGAGTGCGCGGCGTCGGCGGCGCAGCCGATGCTATGTCTGCCAGAAGCCTCAGAATCGAAAGCACAGTGGGAAGCAGAAACGGGAGCACGCGGGTGGGGGTGGGCGTGGGGATTGGCAGCGGCGGCGGGGCGGTGGAGGCGAGCGTGGCGGTGGGCACGCAGATCACGGTGTCGGGCGTCAGTCTCAACGTCAGCTTCGACGCCCTCCGCTGCTTCAGGTTCCCCCAGGCCGCGCTCAGGGCGCTCAAGGCGGGGCGCGGCGTGCAGGTGTGGTGGAACGGCCTCGCAGGCGGCAACAAAGGCCACAGCAAGAGTGGGGGGAGTTCGCGTGGGAAGGAGGCGGGAACGGATGCGGCGCCGGGTGCGGCGTGCAAGCAGCTGCGGTTCTTTGCCAACCCCGCCTGCAAGGGCAAGGCGCTGGATGAGGTGCTGAAGCCGCAATACGCCGGCCTGCGCAGATTCTTCAACGTGCCCAGGTGGGTGTTGGGGCACGTGGGGCATGGGAGCACGTGGTGATGGGGGCACGTGGTGATGTGGGCACATGCGTCATGGGAGCACGTGGGTCATGGAGCCTGTGGGTCATGGAGCCTGTGGGTCATGGAGCCTGTGGGTCATGGAGCCCGTGGGTCATGGAGCCTGTGGGTCATGGAGCCTGTGGGTCATGGAGCCTGTGGGTCATGGAGCCTGTGGGTCATGGAGCCTGTGGGTCATGGAGCCTGTGAGTCATGGAGCCTGTGGGTCATGGAGCCTGTGGGTCATGGAGCCTGTGGGTCATGGAGCCTGTGAGTCATGGAGCCTGTGGGTCATGGAGCCTGTGGGTCATGGAGCCTGTGAGTCATGGAGCCTGTGGGTCATGGAGCCTGTGGGTCATGGAGCCTGTGAGTCATGGAGCCTGTGGGTCATGGAGCCTATGGGTCATGGAGCCTGTGGGTCATGGAGCCTGTGGGTCATGGAGCCTGTGGGTCATGGAGCCTGTGGGTCATGGAGCCTGTGGGTCATGGAGCCTGTGGGTCATGGAGCCTGTGGGTCATGGAGCCTGTGGGTCATGGAGCCTGTGGGTCATGGAGCCTGTGGGTCATGGAGCCTGTGGGTCATGGAGCCTGTGGGTCATGGAGCCTGTGGGTCATGGAGCCTGTGAGTCATGGAGCCTGTGGGTCATGGAGCCTGTGGGTCATGGAGCCTGTGGGTCATGGAGCCTGTGAGTGATGGAGCCTGTGGGTCATGGAGCCTGTGGGTCATGGAGCCTGTGAGTCATGGAGCCTGTGGGTCATGGAGCCTGTGGGTCATGGAGCCTGTGAGTCATGGAGCCTGTGGGTCATGGAGCCTGTGGGTCATGGAGCCTGTGGGTCATGGAGCCTGTGAGTGATGGAGCCTGTGGGTCATGGAGCCTATGGGTCATGGAGCCTGTGGGTCATGGAGCCTGTGGGTCATGGAGCCTGTGGGTCATGGAGCCTGTGGGTCATGGAGCCTGTGGGTCATGGAGCCTGTGGATCATGGAGCCTGTGGGTCATGGAGCCTGTGGGTCATGGAGCCTGTGAGTCATGGAGCCTGTGGGTCATGGAGCCTGTGGGTCATGGAGCCTGTGGGTCATGGAGCCTGTGAGTCATGGAGCCTGTGGGTCATGGAGCCTGTGGGTCATGGAGCCTGTGAGTCATGGAGCCTGTGTCAAAACACTATCGAAGCGGGTAACCGGGTTTAAGGAGGGCCTAGGCTTAGTAGCCTAGGCCAAGCTATTGTCGAGGTCAAGGCCAAGGGAGTGTCGAGAGAAATTGACCAAACAAGTTAGCTTCACTAAAGCAAAGCATACAAGATATAGTCGAGAAACACAAACAAGAGGTGCACCACCAACAGCAAAGAACTATAACTACAGTAACTACAGCAAGCAGGATATATCTTAAATATAACTTTGACACACCCCCTTAGCCTGCTTGCAGTAGGAACTAGAGTAGTCAACACCCCCTGAAGGGGTATAGCTGGCGCAGTGGGAGACGGCAGAGGGGTACGTGAGGGGAGGCGGCGAGAGGGAGAGAGGAGAGGAGAGGAGATGAGGACACAGGAGGAGGTGAGTGAGTGATGAGGAGAGGAGGTGGGGGGGTGGCCGCGGCGTCCCCTCTTACTAACCCCCTTTTACGAAAGGGGGGTTGAGTGGGGGATGAGGAGAGGAGGTGGGGGGGTGGCCGCAGCGTCCCCTCTTACTAACCCCCACATCCGCACCCCCAATCAACCACCGTCCTTCAACCTCACCCCGCATTTCAGCCACCCCCTGGAACCGCACCCCCTCCCTCCCTTCCTTCCTCCACACCCCTGCCCAACCCACAGTTGTCTCTGCCCTGTCCTTCACACTGCAGCCAGCCCTCCCACCCCCCCGCTCCCGCCACCTACCCCCCACAGTAGCAGCCGCGGGAGGGGAGAGGCAGGGCAGAGGGTGGTGCTCTGCTGGCGGGGTTCTCTGCTGGCGGGGTTCTCTGCTGGCGGGGTTCTCTGCTGGCGGGGTTCTCTGCTGGCGGGGTTCTCTGCTGGCGGGGTTCTCTGCTGGCGGAGTTCTCTGCTGGCGGGGTTCTCTGCTGGCGGGGTTCTCTGCTGGTGGGGTTCTCTGCTGGTGGGGTTCTCTGCTGGCGGCTGGCCCTGGAGCTGGTGCTGGTGCTGTCGGCTGGCCCTGGAGCTGGTGCTGGTGCTGGCGGCTGGCCCTGGAGCTGGTGCTGGTGCTGGCGGCTGGCCCTGGTGCTGGTGCTGGTGCTGGCGGCTGGCCCTGGAGCTGGTGCTGGTGCTGGCGGCTGGCCCTGGTGCTGGTGCTGGTGCTGGCGGCTGGCCCTGGAGCTGGTGCTGGTGCTGGCGGCTGGCCCTGGAGCTGGTGCTGGTGCTGGCGGCTGGCCCTGGAGCTGGTGCTGGTGCTGGCGGCTGGCCCTGGAGCTGGTGCTGGTGCTGGCGGCTGGCCCTGGTGCTGGTGCTGGCGGCTGGCCCTGGAGCTGGTGCTGGTGCTGGCGGTGATCGCTGGTGTTCCGCCGCCACTCCCTTCCCCCTTTTCCTCTCTCTCCCCCACAGCATTCCGCCGCCACTCCCTTCCCCCTTTCCCACTCCCCCCCACAGAGTTCCGCCACCAATCCCTTCCCCTCCTCCCTCTCCCACCCACAGCGACCGCCGCTGCACACGCGAACAGTCGCGTCGGGGTGGGTGACGGGCAGGGGGCCGGGGGAGTGCGACGGGCGGAGCGAGGCGACGGGAGGGAAGAAAAATGGACGGGGGGAGGAAGGGCCGCGACGTCCGCCACGGACGCCGTCCCCTTCATTCCCGATGCCCCCCCCCCCCCTTTTCCCCACTCTCGCGCAAACTCGGCTGCAGGCGTAGGCGCGGGCAGAGGTGGTGACGGGGGGGAAAAGCGACGGGCTGACGACGAGGGAAACGCGACGGGCTGGCGACGGGGGGGACGCGACTGGCTGGCGACGGGGGAAAACGCGACAGGCTGGCGACGGGCAGGCGACGAGGGAAAAAACGACGGGCTGGCAACGAGGGAAACGCGGCCAGCTCGCCGCCGCGCCCGTCGCAGCGAGCGCCGTGCCGCGAATGGGTGGGCCCGTAACTTAGGTCAGGATTTTAATCGCTCTATACCATGTCAAAACACTATCGAAGCGGGTAACCGGGTTTAAGGAGGGCCTAGGCTTAGTAGCCTAGGCCAAGCTATTGTCGAGGTCAAGGCCAAGGGAGTGTCGAGAGAAATTGACCAAACAAGTTAGCTTCACTAAAGCAAAGCATACAAGATATAGTCGAGAAACACAAACAAGAGGTGCACCACCAACAGCAAAGAACTATAACTACAGTAACTACAGCAAGCAGGATATATCTTAAATATAACTTTGACAGCCTGTGGGTCATGGAGCCTGTGGGTCATGGAGCCTGTGGGTCATGGAGCCTGTGGGTCATGGAGCCTGTGAGTCATGGAGCCTGTGAGTCATGGAGCCTGTGGGTCATGGGAGCACGTGGGTCATGGAGGCACGTGGATGGGGGCAAGTGGATCATGGGTGCAGGTGGGTGATGGCTGGTGGGTGATGGCTGGTGGGTGATGGCAGGGTGGGTGATGGCTGGTGGGTGATGGCAGGTGGGTGATGGCAGGTGGGTGATGGCTGGTGGGTGATGGCTGGTGGGTGATGGCTGGTGGGTGATGGGGGCTGGTGGGTGATGGGGGCTGGTGGGTGATGGGGGCTGGTGGGTGATGGGGGCTGGAGGGTGATGGGGGGGGCTGGAGGGTGAGTGTTCTCGACAAATGCTACTAAGCCTCGGTTGGGTTGTGTCGCCCTAACGTGTTTCTAACGTCTTCTTTGAAATGGCTCCTACTGCCTGATCTAAACGTGTTCCTAACATCTGATCTGATTGTGCTTCTGACGTTCTTGCAGCACAAAGAAGATCTCCCGATGGACTTCTGTTTCCTGCAAGCCTGGTGCGTGCCTCTTTGCCACCTTGCAACCTTGCCACCTTTTCTCCATGTCTTCTTCTCACCTTGCCTCCTTTCCTTGTTGCCACACCTTGCCGCCTTGTCACATTGCTACACACATCGCTTGCTCTCGTCTATGAAATTGAGGGTCTTGCATATCAAATGGTTTCACCGGCATGTCTGTTGCCCCCCATGGCAGACGTCACCTGCCAGCACGCCTCGTGTCCGAGCAACTCCACGTGTGTGCCTACGACTGACAGCAAGGGCGTCACCTGTGCATGCAACAAGGGATTTTCTGCAGTCAATGGCACTTGCCTGGGTACGCTACTCGTGATGCTACGAGCAAAGGCGGTTACCAACTATGCTGGTGATGACACGCTCTTGTTTTGACACCTTCTCTTCTCTTCTCTCACACTCCTCTCTTGTTTTGACACCTTCTCTTCTCTTCTCTCACACTCCTCTCTTGTTTTGACACCTTCTCTTCTCTTCTCTCACACTCCCCTCTTGTCGCCTGCTCTCTCCTGCGCCTTTTGCCTCGATGTAACATGCACCTGCCCACTTAATTTGAGAAAGATTTTAGGCCATCGTAACAAGAACCTGCCCTAGTTTTCATTAAATATCAGTAGCCTCTCAGCACGACTTTTTTGGTGTCACTTGTGTCACATCGCAGGCAAATGCGGTTCGATAAAGTGTGGGGCCAACGCCACGTGCAGCACGGATGAGGCAGGGGATGCATCCTGTTCCTGTGACAAGGGCTTTGAAAGGCTTGCGGATGGCACTTGTGCTGGTGAGAAATGCTGCTTCGAAACCCAAAAGCATGTGTGGAGAGTAATTGTTTCAGTTGCTTCGTTTTCCCGTTCCCAAGATATGTCTCAACACAACGTTTCTGATGTTGCTTGCAGTGTTATGTTGCTGGTGCCTAGTCTATCCGTTCCCAAACTTATCTTGACACAACTCACCATTCCTCGTATCACATGCATCTCAGGCAAATGCGGTTCGATTAAGTGTGGGTCCAACACCACGTGCAGCACGGATGAGGCAGGGGATGCATCCTGTTCCTGTGACAAGGGCTTTGAAAGGCTTGCGGATG